GTTACCCTAGATAGTCCGCCTCACAGCTTTTAAACTGGCTCTCTATATCCTTCAACCCGAAACACTACAGTTCAAGCACTGTCATTTGGCAAGAGAAATAGGTAATAATGTTGTGCGTCACAATTAATACATGGTACATGGTGACACTAGTTACCACTAGCGCCCTCTAGTATCGAGTTGCAAAACTAGGAGAGTCAAGAACATTCTAGAAATTTCCATGGAAGAACTTTCTAGAACTATCGACACCTAGTCAATCGGGACCGATATGTACTCGAATATTCTAGAAGTTTCTATAGTAGAAGGTTCTGGAAACTACCTGAGGTCCTAAATAAGGCCGGTGTAGACCGCGACCGAATCAGTATTGAATTGGCGATACAAGCGAATACTGCGAAGCGATACAACTGCGCACTAAAGTTTACAATTGTGTTTTGTTATTAGTGTGGTTTTAAGTTGATTTAGTGTTCTATAATTAAAGTGTTAATTTTGGTAATTCACTCGGCAGTTTTTAATTGTCTCGAACCCCAAGCTCGTAATACCTACTCAAATGTACTTCTAGGCAGAAAAGGAATCGATTTGAACAGTGGCGTATAAACCTTAAGGTAAACCGTTGAGCTACTGCCTATAACCTACTATTAAATTTCATTTATTTAATATTGAACTTGTTGGAAAAATGAGTACATTCGTTTCTATATACAATTTAAAATAACGAGTAATAATAAAAATGCTATGAGCATACACAACAGTTAGGGGCTGCATACGAAATAGGCTTGGAACGAAGCTTGTTACATCAGCTCAAGGAAGTGGAAAATTACAAAGTCGGGAAAAGACCTCTGACCAATTTACTATTTCCGCAGAGAGACATCAGCTTTATTTTTATTTTAAAACGTGAATATCAGATTATCTTGACTATATTGTGATTTCTGGAATCAAATCCAAATTAATTAAGTAACATTTTATTTTTACGTACATTATACTACTATCATGTCAGTTCTATTAAATTTACATATATAAATAATTGTGCATTTTAGTACAGTTTTATGTTTAAAAAATGATCCCCCTGGTTATTTAGTTGGTTCTTCCTAGGACTAGGACAAAAGTTTTTTTCCGTAACAGTTGTGATAAATAAAAAACTTGGCTTTTAATATGTATTGTAATTTAATTTTTAATTTTTAATTAATTAATTAGTTTTTTAATTGAATTGTATATTGAATAAAATATATTATATTCCATTCGTTACCTACTTCTCAATTCTAGATTAGTGACAGGGCTGAAAGCAGTATGTCACTAGTCTAGTAGTAAATGCCCTTATTAGATTATGAGGTTTTTGTTAGAAAATTGAAATGACCAACGAATTTACAGTCTACTTAATTGTAAGTGACTAATGAAGCATATAGGTCTAAGATAGAGTACCTCTCAGCATGTAATTATTAAGTAAGAACGAAAGGGCGATGCAGTAATCCCAGCACTACCACCCCGATTAACAGCAACGGGTATAGTGCGCTCGATTGAGGGAGGGTGGGAGGTCCCCTTAAAACTGGGCAGGACATATCATTTTCTTTCTTTAGGCCCGCCACATACATACGGAATTCCGTTTCGGGATTCCGTTTCGATATTCCGATTCTAGATTCCGAACGCAGCAAGTTCATATAAAATCTATGACCCGTCACACACGTACGGTACTTTTCCGTTCGAAATTTTGCGGGCAAAACGGAATTCCGTATGTGTGTGGCCGACCCGTTCGGAATTCCAAAACGGAATCTCGAAACGGAATTCCGTATGTATGTGGCGGGCCTTACCCGGAATTAAGCAAATTAGTTTATAACAACCCCATTATAATGGATTTCCGTAAAGTAACGCCTGATTCTATCAATTATCATAAAAAATCATTATGATAAAAGGTCTTTTGACTTTTAAAGAGTAAACAGTCTTGGTTAGGATGTTAGAGTTTTTTTTTAGATTTTTAGAAGAATTTGAAGATTTCATGATCTTCTTCAATAGTAAGATACAATGTTTATTCGAGAGATTTTATGCTTATGATAGCCTTATTGATTGGTTCAATAAAATAGTGATTTTCTATGTTTTGCATTTTCAGTTGGTTCGTTTCCCGGCTTTTTAAAAAATGTTTAAATATCGTTATTCTTATTTTGTAAACAAATGAATAATTTCCTTGACTGAAACATAAATTAAATACCTTCGATATTTAATGTACGTTACCTCCATGTCCCGTTCGTTTTTTTCCACCCTGTAGACTGAACTTTACTTTTTACTTTATTAAGAAACGGTAAAGTAAACGGTAAACAATTACCGTAATTCACAGGTTAACATCGCAGTCTAAACTAATTAAATTCGAAGTTAATTTACTTCAACCTACACAGCTCTTTAAGCAAGAATCAGCACTAAAGTCAGCACTAAGTCCGGGTCCGTAATTGCCTACTTTATTTAAATTAAACTCTTGGCCGAACACCATTACTACGAGTACAGTGCTCAATTTTTGCACCCCAGTATTATCTTGTTATATGCAGCATACAAGTGCATGTTCCAAATAATATTTTTCCATAAATATCATACATAAATATTCATGCCGGTCATATTTACGCCCAAAAGGATAGGCAGAATCTATAGGTTTCTGTTTGACACCTTACTACTTTGACAATCCTTACGTACTTTCCTCGCCTTTTTCACGTCAATATACTTAGGCATGTATGCTCGTCGATTACTCTTAATTTGACCCACCTTCGGTATATCGTCAATTTGGGCCCCCTCTCGGTTCCTTCACTTCTGCAACATAAATTTGCTTTGTCACCTTTTCCTTATTTATTCTTTCTACATGACCAAACCACCCTGTCATTCAGAACAACCCATAACATTCTGCTTAATGACTTCATTTCTACGCCATTTATACTGCTCTTGTGCTTCTTCCGCCAGGATCACCTTTCACTATCATACATAAAGGTAGGGACAAAGCATTGTTAATTATCATATGTGCCATTTTTGACATATTCTGACCTCCCACAATAGAGCAAAGGGCCTTTTTTACTCTGTTCTATATTCGCTTGTCGTTCTATACATTGTCATGTCTACCATCCCGGCTAATGTCATCAACTATAAATTCTGAAATTGTAAATAAATATAGTCGGGGTGTGATTAATGTGACATCTTCATCTATTATCGATAAAGAATCAAAATGCCAATGCAATTTAACCCCAGATGACTTAGATGGAATGTCTCGTGTCAGTATAAATGGTCTTCGGTTTTCTACACGCACCATATGAAACACTGCAGTATTAAGCTATTATTTTATACGCTGGTTGTTACGGCCTACGGCTGCTACCTTAAAGGTCAAATCCTCAGGGGCCCATTCAGCTGAGTTTCGACGAGCAGACGTAGGTCGGGCCTCAATGTGGCCACGTGGAATTTCTCTAATTACACTAAACTATATGGGGGAGCGTTCGATACTACGGCCAGTCGACCGGGAGGATATTAGACGGAGCTTACTTACCTATATCCAAGGCGACTGGTCCCTCCGGAGTCGGTCAGGTCGCATGTGGTTGTGTAGTGCAAGGAAAATAAGGTGATGTGATGTGTATCTGGGTGTGACTGAGGGTGATTGACCCGAGTAATCCTTGGCCGTCGGCAGCAGCCCGGGCGTCGACACCGCTCCAAATTGAGGGAACCTTCCGCGGCGTTGTCCACAATCACTTTCCTCGTTCGTCACTATGACAGTCCATTAACTCTATCGTACTATTAACTAACTTACAGAAGCCACTAACTCTCGTTGGGTATAAGGTTAACGCACAAAAAGCACACGGAGTTTCTGGATCAAAGGTCACTACCGTTTCGCGTAGCAACAGTTATTTCTAGAATATAAAAGGCCGCACTAGCTAATATTGCCGAATGCACTTATGCAGATTCTGAGTCAGACACAATGAGTCCCTGGGAAGCTCTCCAGCAGGAATGCGCGCCACAAATCCTAGACCGTATATTTACTGTCCGCGCCTAATTATTCCGAGTTCCCGACAAAAATGACAGCGTGCTAACGTTAGCACCGCTTACAGACGACTAACTGCGCTTGTGCGTTTTACGCACGACCGAATGTCAAACCGTTATGACAACGAGCTGCGCGCCCTCTCGCGTTATTTCCTGAAATTAGCGTTTGGCGCGAACACTGGTAGCTATTTAGACTATGAGAAATGTTAGAAAGGCTTCGTGCACCAGATGTAAAATTTTAAGACTTCTGGTAGTGCATTCGTCAATTCGCCAAACAAGAAGTTGGTGATCGATGTATATGATAATAATCCCTCCTTACTTCTATAGGAAACAAAATTTTAATCGTTGTGTTATAATCATAATGCGTAAATTTTTGTACACACATGTAAGATACTGAACTGTTATTCAATAATAATTGAAAAAGTGTTTATCGGATACCGGATACATCAAGTTGAAGTTACAATTGTAGTGATTGTCATTTATTTTCTTATTTAAGGCACGTTTTGGAATAATACAAAAAATTAAATAACTCAACACATAATATACAAAGAGAGAGCCGTGGTAGCTCAGATGGTTAGCGCTCGCTGTAAGCTTCACAGTACTCGAGCAACCCTGGTTCGATTCCCGCCGGCACTAATGAAATTGTTAATTGCAATTTTAAGTGCTGATTTACCACGTGCTCGGCGGTGAAGGAAAACATCGTGAGGAAACCTGCATGTCTGAGAAATAAGAAAAAAAATATTTTCGAAGACATGTGAAGTTCGCCAACACGCATTGGGGCAGCGCGGCGGACATTTCCTTGCCCTAAAACCCTCTCAGAAATGAGAGGAGGCCTGTGCCCAGCAGTGGGACGTAAATAGCCTGCAACTTAACTTTTACTTTTACTTTATAATATACAAAATAGTAAGTATTGATTTTTATTAGTATTTGCTTTAAACTACTCAAATATTCACACGTCAAAATATCTTGAAAATAAAACATAAATGTGCAGATTTAAATTTTTTATTTTTTTTCATAATATAAAATTTATAAAGTAATAAACAATAATTTATTTCTTTATGAAAATAACAAACGATTCTGAAATCATGTTGATGAAATGACTTTTTTAACGAATGATATGAAAGAAGCCACCTCTTTGAAATCGTATCGTTTTGTTTTGTTGCACCATGAACATACTCGTACTATTTACATCAACCCCACGCACGGTCTTTATCACAGGCGTATTTCGTGAACCAAGAGCCGATATAATCTTAATTGCCGTGCTTAAGGGGTTACTCTGGACCTGTTAAAGAAAATAAAGTGTTCTGGATTTATTAAACATATAAATCTAAATTTTCACAAAGCAGTGCATATTAATCAAAAATTTCTGGTGTCTGGTGGCGGCTTCAGAGAATTTACCACCCCATTCCATCCCGTGGGTGTAAGTGGGGAGAGCGGCTATGGGAAATTCCAGATAATTCTTATAGCCTCAATAGATATAGCGATATCAATATTTAGTATAATCCAACCAATCATAATCAAAACATCGCCTATGACGTCGGTACTGCGATCGGCAATTATTCTCCGCCAAGTGTGCCGATTATGGCATATTCTCCATACAATAGAACACACTGTTAAAGCAGTGCACTGTTCCAGACTAAAATAGAGGAACAATCCAAAGTTAATTTTAATTATTTTTATATTTTTGTTCCTAAATAACAAACCAATTTTATATAGTTCTTCTGAAAAATTCAAGAAACTGACGACGAAGAGTGGCAAACTCTTACCTCAACCTACAAACCTATGAATAATGAGGTCTGTATTCAGTACTAAATGAAGACTGCATGAGTAATAAAAAATGTGTTTGGTCACTTTAAAATTATGTTAACTTTGCAAACTTCTAATTACTGATACTGAAAATTTTACCTTTGGTGTTATACGTCTATGCCATCTATCGGAGACTATGACATACTTATCTGGAATTTTTCATAGTCTTCTCTCACGACACTAACGGGAGGGGTATTGTGTACTAAGTAGCGCACTTAAGCTTAATAGATATGAATTTCATCGGTAAGTATTGAATTTTTTATATAGTATAAGGGTGACAAACGTGCACACTGATATCTGCATCTATCTCGATTAAGAATCAAAATGTAGATGCGTTGTAATCGCTGATGACATAGAATGACTCGTTACCAGTAAAAAAGGTCTGCTTTTCTCTAATCTCATCATTCGGTATATCATTAAGCTACTATTTTAAGCAGGTATTCTGTGAGAGCTTGGTACTCCCCGTTCGGCTGATCCATTCGTGCTGCAAGTATAATATAGTTGCAACGTGGCTCTACCACTTCGTACTCGAAAGTCATCGAAATCACTTAAGGTTGTAAATATCATTACATGCTTTCCGTTTTAACTTCATTTTTTTATTTATTCGGGTCAAGACAAAAAAGGTTACTAAAGACAAGTCAAAATATTTAAAATGTTAGATTTAAATTATAAATTTATCCCGTAAAGGGGATCAAATTATTTGCTTTTTTCTTGAAACACGTTTGCTACAAAAGTTAATTTTATTTATTGTTAAAATTATTTATACGCACCTTGAATTTAAAGTTACGCAGCAGCTGAAATCAAAAATACCAATATGAATATAATTATTATTAGAGTTTAAAAAGACTTTAAACAACACTCATTGATAATGAGCATCTATACTCCTGATGAGATAAGGTACTACAATAAATTCATGATGAATATAAGAGATTCATACCATACACATAGATAACGTTAATAAAAGCGTAAATATATATACTCGTATATAAAATTTATCATCTAGAAATTTGCAGATGTAATATATGAGGACGAGACATGTGTCAATTATTTAAAATAATTATGTCCTATTGACCGAATTTCGAACCAATACATTAGCAAACATTACAGTGCCGCTAGTGTACATACTAACACAAACTAACGCACTCACTAGTTTAAATATGTTTTATAGTACTCTTTTATTCAATAGCCATTTTCGGTAACTTCTTCGAACGCTAGACTATAATCCTGTCCTGCGCAGATAGCTACTCTCCATTGAGTCTGTCCGACGTGACCGAAATCTGTCTAGCGTACATTATTAATGTCTAAACTGATAAAAAAAATTTAAAACTTGCCTTCTGCTGGAGGTGCTGCCGGAGCTGGTGCAGGCGTGGCAGGCGTTGATTCTCCTTCCTAAATATAAAAAAAAAACATTAACTAGTATTTAGGTCTACAAACTGCTTGTATTATAGCATATAAATTAAAGCAAAAAGCACCATTTTGGTTTTCAGCTAATATTGCTTATTTTCGAAAATTGTAATATGCATACCTTGACAACGATTAAAAATCTTTTAAAATTTCTTTTCAAACATAAATTATATGGGTATATCTGTTACAGATTCAGTAAATAATAGGGAAAAGATACAGACAACAACAACACTGCTCGAAAAGCGGTTAAACCACATTACGTAGCAAAATAGAACCAAATAATACATACAAGTGTTGTGTCAACAAACGGCATAGGAATCTTATGGTAAATAAAATGAAATAAATAAAATATTTAAAATAGATAATGGTGAAGAAGATATAAAAACAACTGTTTCTTATTAAGGCTCCCATACATAAAAATGTTATTACAAAATATCCCAAAATTTATAAATTGTTACAATGCTTTATAAAAATAAATATAATTTTTTTTTTTGATATTCCCATATTTAAGCTTTATTTTCATCCTTTGTTTTTAATTTAAACAATTTTCTTTTAACAAAATTATATTTTAAATTCGTTAAGCTTTTTGAGAATATTTTTGTTTGAATGCAGGTATAGTAGCTTTTCAGCAGTAATCGTTATTGTTGAGACAATCTCGCGCGGTCGTAAAAAATGCACGGACAGGTGGGGCGAGAATCACTCGCGCGGCGTGGACGGTTGAGAGGATAATATTATTTGGCTAAAATTGTTATTTGTACAAAATACAACAGCAACATATAAAATACAACAGAATACAAAATACTACAGTAAATTATAAATTTTAATAATTACAACATTTATCTGGGTGTTAATTACCAAATCCTCTTAGATATTCCGATGAACTGTACTTTCTCATGCTATTTTTTATTTTTGTTCAATGCTTACGAGAAAGCAAACTATTTAATAGTCAGATTTGAACTCATTATTCAATAATTCATTACATCCACTTGTAAACATAGAACTCCCCCATAAATTGCCTCGTAGTTTGAGGTATTTGCCATAATTTACAACGCTTATTTTTTTATTTTGAATTTTTATTTTGAAGATGTTGCTGCCCATCTCCTGTTTTCTACCGACTTCAAAATGGAGATGGTACTCAATCCGACTGTATGTATTTTTATGTATGTTAACTCATAATTTTTTATTGGGTGATAATTCTCTTTTTATTTGAAAGATGGTGCTTCAAATGTGGTCAAGGTCTTACCTATGGTTTTTGAGTTATTCTTAATAATTTATATTGAAGTTGGTCAGACACTCAAGGGTTGATATGAGGTAGTAGATTCTCTTATGCCCTAACAGTTACGAAATGTTTAACAATGTTTTACAACATGTTAGAAATTCTTCAGCGCTGTGGGAGCATTAATAACATTTAACAAATTTTAGCTAAATGTAATATATTATGTTAGAAAATGATAAAGCGTTATAAAACTTTATTAAACTGTTGTGTGAGAACACCATATATATTTAAGACACTTTTCTTTTGAGTAAATGTAGCTACAACATTTTTTAAACTTCCGCTGTCACACAAGGAACTCTTATTATTTCGTTCTGTCTGTCTGTTCCTGCGCTAGCATCTTAACTTCGAGTTTTTGGTAAAATCAGGTAAAAAATTTAAGAGTATGGATGTGTAACAAATTTAGGTCTGCAGTTTGAGATAAAAAAATTACATATATTTTTTAGACTTTTATTTAAATTACCTCCGAGGTTTCAAAAACAAACAGAGCCAAAACGCTGGGGAGCCGCGTTCCGCTACCCCCTCCCCGCCACACGCGTGACACCTGGCACCATCGGCCGATTCTCCAAGTCGAACGTGATTGGGTGCCGTCTCAGAATGAACATTTTTGGGCATAAACAAACCCCGTCCTGGACATAAGGATTTATGTCCGCGAGCAAACCGGCAAGCGGTACAGGGTCGCGACGGCACGTTGCAAGACCGAATCTACAACCAAACCTAGGCCACCGTAGGCACCCCATCATATCTTGCAACTCTAACCACCGCCTCAAAAATACAGCCCCAACGTGGGCAAGCCGGAGGGTCGAACCTCCACTGGATGCCCTTCCTGGACATCGCAGCACCTAAATAAGTCCTATTTCTGGACAGAAGTCCGACGACCTCTTTCAAACACCTATCTGTGCCCCTATGATTCGTTCCGCAATCCAACCGGATCAGGTCTTCAAACAGCGACGCGATACGAAGTGGCCCAGCGTGGCCTCCTAAGCTTCAGTGCAGAGAGCACCCACAAATTCCACATGAACGTCGTCTGTGGAGAGCCAAACGAAACGCACAGATAATCCTTAGTATGAATTTTCAAACAAGTAGGCATAACCAAGCCATCTACCATATAATCATTTACTCAATAGTGCGGCAGCTGATTTCAATCTGATGATCTCCAAACTAGCTAGCCTTTTAGACAAGTAGTCCTATGTTCATATTTCAACCAATTTTCAAAGCATCAATGTTCAACTACAGAATTAATTCAAACAAATTAATTTACCAATGCGCATAGATCAAACAGACAAATTAAACAAAACGATAAACGTAAGAGACAGCCCTATTTCTCTTTCCAAATAAATATCTTCGACAGTGCCAACAAAATGTGAAAACAAAGAGAGGAATGACTCTTATTCCGTTCGGCACAAATAGGGTTATTCAATTTCCATTTTCTTTTCAACAAGCAAACTAAAAAACATATGTACAAATATTCAAAGAGCAGACTAAATTCTCCTTCTTAATCAAAACCGCCACAAATATGAAAACATTTCGCGGAAAACCCAAAGCATTTTTATTTTTAATTTAAAGAATTTTTAACTAAGTGCTCGACCAAAACCAAATCTAATAATCACTTACAGCGCGATTCAACGCTCCCGGGGAGCCCTAGTCTTCCCAACAGCCAAGCGGAGGCCAACCGTGTTGTGAACCCGGAACTAATAAAGCGCGACTCGTTAAACAATCGACACTCGAGTTGTACATCCTCACTGAGGCCGTCGATAATAGAACAGTTTGACAAGTGAGCTGTTGACGGCTCAAAGAATTAGTGGAGGCGGCCGTGTTGGGAGCTAAGGCGGCAGCTACCTAGCTGGGCTGCCTGCATTAAAGGGGGAACTCTAGTACCCCAAGCCGCGGCCACTCAGCTGACGGGTTGAGAAGGGTCTAGCTGACCGCTGAGTGGCAATGAAGTCCCTCTCAACATACTGAGGGGGGGAGACGACCCCCAACCCCTGGGGTATCAACCCCCCGACAGGGGGCGCGGCTGAGCGCCCCCGCCCGTGGGAGTCGAGGACTAGGAAGAGCCCTGAGAGGAAACGCCGTTCGCACCCAGACACAAAACGGCCTGGTGATTGCCCTGGCAGCGCGATGGCATCACTTCTAAATACAAATTACTACGCGGCTCAAATACAAATCAATTAACAAGTAACTTATACAATTCCTATCAAATCAAGTTAAATACAAATTACACAAATACAAATTACCATTTGTTAAATTAAATACAAATTACAATACAAATAAAGATACACACAACAGTCGATCAACAAAAAATGCCTCGCTCGGACAGCCGACCCTTCGATAATTAATCTACTATAATTATACGAAAACGATAATTATCCGATTACATGATAATAACCATCTACCTACCCGACGCATACCTAGCCCTAACAAACTCCCGCTTGCACAACCTACGGGCGTAGCTTTCAAATCTACTCGCTAACAAACAATAAAGCAAGCAACAAAGGAAAAGAATTTTATTATTAAGTATTACGGCCGGGCGTGATTGTAGACACAAATTAAACCAATTCAACCACGCTCCCTGCTACCAAAAATATTAAGGCCCGCAGCTGCCCTTGGAAAGGTCGCCTTGGCTGGGACCCATAGCAGCCTCCTCGATGAGCAGACGCGGGTCGGGCCCAAATGGCCATATGGAAAAATGTCCTATCATACTAAAATGTAGGGAGAAGGCTAAAAAAATCTAGTACGTACCTGTATCCGAATCTAAGACCGCCCTAAGGCTCGGTCAGGTCGTAGGTGGGTGTAAGGTACATGGAAAGTAGTGTTTAGTGATGTGTATGTGTATGAGACCTGGCCCAGCTGAGGTGACGGGCAGCGGCCGATTTCCATGCCGCCCCACAATGCTGCATCATTCCAGCAGGCTTCCCCGCTGGACCATTTCTTTCTTGATGTCACTATTCCAGTCTATTAACTTCATTGTACATTTAACTAACTTAAACTTGCCTAATTCCACATTCATCGTAGAATCGAACACGTGATACCCGACACAGTAACGGACAGTGGTTCAAAGTTCCCGTGACTGATCTTACTCTGATACAGTGCTTTGTAAATCACACGGATCAAATGCAGGCATTTCGTTACTAGAATCTTCGACTTTATACGATTGTTTTTGGTCAGTTAGGAAATGATTCCTTGTGCAATGTCTAAAACTATATGAGTGCACCTAAACTACTTTTATAATGTTTAATATAAGTATTTAAAGTGTTCACCCACTTTTGATTTTGACTGAATCATACCATTGACCATGACCATTATTTTCTTTCATTTCTATAAATGAGAAAAAGTTTTGTTTGTCCGTTGATATAAATGAAATTAGTTAATAAGAACAAGAACGGTTGGCGATATTTTCTATTTTGCACTTCCATTATAACCTCGGGTTTTAATGCGCTCATGAAATGAGCATTAAGTCTTGTACTATTTCTATCATTGTAAAATCTCATATTTCAACCAAAGTCATATTTTTTTTATTTTACTTAACCGAAAATAAATCATTTCATGTTAGCTTTTCAAGAATCACATTAAACAGTACAAACAACGCTTCAAAGAGCCCACCATCACTCTATGTGAAGTCCGATGGTTGATGACGTTGGGCGGTTCAGCCGGACAAGGCTACTAGGGTCATCGTATGCATAAGATGGTTCACCTAACTAAATACTGATTA